CAGTTATGGATGATATTATGGATGAAGCTGCACCAGTACTTAATTTTCATCAGATAAGAAATTAAATTGCGCAAAATTAATCATATACATGTTCTTTTTATTCTCCTTTAATGTCACGGTTCCATTTAAGAATTGAGAATTCTTTCAAAAACTATTTCAATTACAAAAACGAATCGACGAGGATGGGATTCGAACCCACGCGTGCAGAGCACATTGGATTAGCAGTCCAACGCCTTAACCACTCGGCCACCTCGTCCTATGATGAGAGTGTTGAATTTTACTATCAAAATAGTAACGCTTTACAATTACTGAGAAATATTGTGCTTAATGTATATTAATTATAACAGAAAAATAAAAATTATTCTTCAATCAATAAATAATAAAATCCAATTCTTTTGACGTTAAAATGACTATCTCATTACTTGTCCCACACCTAGCGGCATCTATCGCGTTTTCCTAGTACTACTAACTGATTCATAAACAAAACTGAGGTGCTCGCACCAGTATTTTTTGTGCAGCTCACAAGATTCACGTCAATTCTACTAGAGGGCGCTAAAATTAAAAAAATGTAAATAATGTGTTGTATGTATTTTCACATTATTCAATGTATCGAATTTTTTCCATATTTTTTCCATAGTATATCCACTCCTTTGCAAAATAAACGGCCATCCAAAAGTTTTCAACCATTCAAATCTTATAAAAAAAAGAGGTTTTATAATATGCTAATGAATAATCGGAAAATATTAGTCTACGTATTAAAAAGTAAAGTCATGTAAAATAAAACTTTATGAAGTTGAAAAGTTATTTGCACATCTTACCAAACATCCAGTGTAATAATAATAAAGTTATAAGTTTAATTATAAAGTTATAATAAAGTTATAGTTTGTCCAGTAACACATACTCGTCTTCGTAACATACTTGCTAGACAAGTAGGTATGATGGAATATAACATAATTGTATGTCAACATATAGTATATTACATAATTACTAGACAGAACCAAACTACCTGTTATAGATAAGGTTTATAACAGTTAGCATCTATGCACTATCACCTTCCTACGTACCACCAATAATGATGGAAGGAGACATGACAACTTTTACCTCCGAACACAAAGGTTAACTCGCACAGTCGACTCATAATCTGTCAGGATGAGTGACCTCAAGGGAGCTCAGGGTCAACTGAAGTCTCGAGAGGGACGCGTTACCTAGCAACCGTACCCTCAACGTACCCCTCCATTCATAAAACGCCCGGCTCTACAGGCTTCTTCCTTATTATTCTACGATATTATTTATTGGTGAGACAGTAAAATGAATTAAATATGAATATATAAGCATGGTGCAAAAATTATTCTCGGTATTTGAGAATTAAATAAAAGTAAAACGAGTTACATGAAGTAACGAGCGGTCATGAAACGTGTAAAGGGCCTGAAACGTTGATGTATTTGAAAAAACAAAACGTATATACGCAGTTTGGACGCTAAAAAATAGTTTTTTATTTCATATGAGTTATATGAAACTAAGTTTAAATTAATAAATTATATTACTACACCTAAGACGCGACATCTTGCATTTTGATCTTAAAGGGCTAGAAATAAAATAATTGTTATGATAGAAGTAAGTGTTTTCCCCGGTTTTATAAATTTAAATTGTCAACACGGAAATGGCGTTTGGTATTTTTCAAAATTACGTAATAGTTTTGATCAATAAAATAACTGTTTTAACTTAGGCACTTAATACTGAAAATGCAAGGTGGCTCGAACTACGTGTCCGGGAATATATTTCCAAGCAACATAAAAATGGGCCTCACTGTCAAAAACTTTCAATTCACGAGTTGAAATCATATAATTTGACGTACGTTTGCGTTCGTTAAAAATTCGTTTAAATAAAAGATCGGGTTCTTGTAACCTAGTCAGCTGACGGCTGACAATCCTTGTCAGGCTAATTGTCACTTCTCAGAAAGGGACCAACTAACAATGTCCTCTGGGTATGTCGTAGGTCCTGCTTTAATAACATAATAGTAATGCCAACCCTAATGACCATATACTGTAAACAAGGGGACGGACACCGCTATTTTATACAGAGTGTCTATGAAATGAAAAAAGCATATTCCGAAGCTTAGGCTATTTTCGTACTAAGACATTTTGAGCCTTTTATCAGGTGCCATTTCATTAAGTCATTTTATAAGCAAAGCAAATTAATAAAACTGTAAAACAAAATTGTCAAACATATTTACTACCCTTACGAAATTAAAAAAAAATGTACTAGTAGCACTCACTAAAGATTAAATGTAAATTTTCTATCTTTATTAACTTAATCTATTTCAAATTGCACTTTAAAAAGCTTAAAGAAACGGAGGTTCCAAAAATTTAACGGAAACTTTTTATAAAGTTATAACATACATTACAGCGCACTTTGCAAAAGTTGTCATCAATTTTCACGATGTTTTCCTGTACTGTAAATTGTTGTCTGTAGAAAAAGGTTTACGATCACATTTATTTTGTTTACAGTTTTTCTATCTAATTATTAAAAAAAAGTATACGAGTTTTGAATATTCATATTTTTAGTTCCCTATTAAAATGTTATAAATATTTATTAAAAAGTCCAAAATAAACCCCTTCAAATTTGACACCACTGTTGACTTCATAGACGTGCTGTATATTTGTATTTTATATGAAACCAAAGGGTCGGTTGTTACAAATGGTCTTGGCTTGGTTATTATCGTTACGACTTTGCAGATCTAGTTTTGAAAGACCTGTACGACTTTTATGGATTCAGAGCTTACCTTATACGAATGTACCTATCAGTACCGGTATGAAATATACATACTTAGATATACCTTTCCGATTACTCTAAAAATAAAATTAAACTTCATATTTCTTGCTAGTAATTCTTTTTTACCCACTTTCCTCGCAAGAAGTGAAAGAAATTGCTCTAAGTAATGTGTTCAAAAGTCGACCATGCGTCAAAATTGGAGGAGCTTATTTTGACATCAAAACAAACAACATTTATTTCACGACTTTTTAATAAATATTATAAACTTCGCCTTTTGTACATTTTAATAGGGAACTTATAATGCGAATAATCAAAACCCGTATATTTGTTTTTTTTTATATAATTAGGTAGAAAAACTGTCACCAGAATAATTGTGATCGTAAACGTTTTTCTTCAGACCACAATTTACAGCACAGGAAAACATGGTGAAAATTGATGACAACTTTTACAAAGTGCGCTGTAATATATGTTATTATTTTATAAAAAGTTTCCGTTCAATTTAGTGCAAATCTTTGAAATAGATTAAGTTAATAAAGATATAAAATTTACATTTAATCTTCAGTGAATGCTACGAATACAACAATGTTCTTATTACATACAGGTAGAAAATATGTTTGAGAATTTTGTTCAAAGGGATAATTCAGTACGTATTGTAAGTAATTAAATATCGTTGACGTCTACAGCATTTAGCAGATCAGTGATTTAAATGAATAAAGGAGGTTCCAACGTGCACACATAAGGTGTCTAGACGGAGTCCATGATTACTTTGCAGTATACAGGCAGCAAGCACATTACATTGATTTGTGCGACCGACCATCTCAACCGAGCTTAAATATTCGCTCCACTGCCTCTCTGATATAGGAACTAGTGAGGGTAAAAGCTTTGCCGTATAGAAACTAGGAACACGTACAGTCGGCAGTTTAAGCTGGTGACTTAAGCTGACGGCAAAATATGCATTAACGTTTAAGCCGTGTTGACCTTTAAGGAGACACTAAGTTTGAAGACTTCTGGATTAAACGAAATTGAAACGTAAATAGACCTAAAGTACATTGTAAGCATAATATGAAAACAGATTTCTAGAAGTTCAGTCCAAAATATGTACATTAACAACCACAGTGTGGTATATTTTTAGTACCTATTTGTGAAATG